ATAGATCCTGTGAAAATAGAGTGCACTTCTACTTATAGCCATCGGTATATAAAAAAAAAAAAAAAGAAAAGCAGGTCTAGGCGATAAAAAGTGACAGTTTGTGTCCTTTACTGCGTTGATGCATTTTTTTTTAATATGGATCTACTACATGTATGTCGAGGATAAGTATAAATTAATCTCGAAGTCGACGTTTATTTACATTATTTTTTAACTTATAAATGCTCCTACATGAGTGGAAGCTTATTGAAACTAGATAATTAACCCTTAATAAATTCAATTTGCAAGTCATTTTGAAAAGCACTCTTCGACACAAAATACTTTGTATTTTTTTTTTCGATGGAAGAGACACGAAAGGTATATTTGAATGTTACGCCTGCGTTTAAGCTTTCCTAACTTGACGCCTAAAGCGATTCAAGCAAACATTACCAGCTGACAAACCAAGTTGTCTTTTAGTTTAGGAAAAAGTAGAAAATAGATCTTATCAACTTCTTATTAATAATTTTTTAATGTTTTTTTTTTACGGTGACCACTTTATAGATGGACATGAATAGCAAATGAGTTTTGAAGGACAAGAGACCTGAGCTCGGGTATAGATGGCGAATGCAACAGGGGAGGTACCATTAAGATCATTTTTTTCCTGCCCCAGTGATCCGAAAGGACTACTAATCTACATTAATTCATCCCTGAATGTTCTTATCGCGATCACATCTTTTCCCGGAAACCTCTTGATAATCGTTGCTCTTCGAAGGATTACTTCGATACATCCACCATTAAAACTTTTATACAGTTCTTTAGCTTCCACCAATTTTTGCGTCGGCATCATACTACAGCCTTTTTCACTTGTTTACTTATTGTCTCTAGAGGTCTTCGCTCTCTGTAGTCATACTGGATCAACCTTCTCAGCTGTAGCCTTAACCCTTTTCACATCCACTGCAGTTGGCTTGGACAGATTTTTCGCACTGAAACTTGGGATAAGATACAGGCATTATATAACAAAGAAGCAGATCTGGGTCTTCGTATTCATTTCTTGGCTTGTTAGCTGTGGCAGTGCAGTCATGTATCTGTACAACAAGGATGCCTTTGCGTATACGACCACTGTAGCTGTACATGTGTTGTTTTGCGTATCAACGTCAGTGTTTAGTTATGTAAAAATCTACCGCGTACTTTGCCAACATCAAATGCAAATATAACAGCAGCTATATCTCCAGCAGCCCGATAGAAGAGTTATTCCAATCAATATTACGCGATACAGAAAGATAGTTTCCAGTGCGCTCTGGGTATAGGCAGTCTTGGTAGCTTGTTATCGACCATTCGTCGTAATTACCTTAATACCTTCTCTAGCATACACTCACCTGTTCTTGCCATAGCCGCGGATCTGGCAATAACTCTTGTTCAGTTGAACTCTTCTCTGAATCCATTGTTGTATTGCTGAAAAATTAGGGAAGTAGGCCGAACAGCGACAAATTCACTCAAGCAATTCCTCTGCTGCTAGAGTTTGTTAATTGATGTATTTTACTCTTGTTTTCCTTTATTCTTTAAAATCGCTTCCTTTCAAAGAATGCAACCGTAAATTGTACAAATATTATAACGTAAGAGAATGAATTGAAGATATTTCCGAATAAAAAAGGATAAGAAATTGGTGTGCTCCTGCAAATTTTGACAACTGGTAAATTGCCCAAATTACCACAATAAGTATGATCGGCAGTTCTGTAGTAAAAACCAAGATGGTGATTTAGCTGTTGGTATGTTCTTCAATTCCCTTGCTTTTCAACTTCTTCGCCTTCTCCTGTTTCCGCGGCATAAGGAGTTAAGTTAAATGAATGCAATGAACTCTTTTCAGGGAAAGTCACGTTGCAAGAAAAGTCGAGGATGATAATGAGTAAGAGCAAATCTTATTTAGTCACTAATAGACACCTCTGGGCTTTAAATTTGCAGCTGGTTACCAACACGCTCGAAAGACACACCAGTAAATGGCTCCCTAAAGCGGTGAATAGTTAAAAAAAAAGTTGCCAAGAGACAATTCAGAGCCAATAGGTCACGTATATACATAGAAAGCAAACATGACAGCATGAAGAAGTAGCCTCGTGAGTCGTTTCCTGCCAATATACTCGATTCTCCAAATTAAAGTGAGTTATTATTGACATGAAGTTACTGCTGACGTGCAGTTTGGTTTGTCTCTTGCATTATTATTATGAATTGTTAAAATCGAGCATTTCACAACTGGTATAGTGCTTGATGAATTGTGAACAGAATTGGCAAATTTTAATAGCAACACTGATGTTATCTTATAAATGACGCTGATTTGAAATTCAATAAATTTATTAGGACAACGATAAAGTATAATTTTGTGAGTTCACTCAGAGCGGACAACGGATTTTTTCCTTTAATCCGTTTCCTTTGTCTTACAAAAAAATCAAAATTGTCATTGTGCCCGTCGATAGATGGAGACTGAAAACCATGTCCTATGATGTAGTTTAGGGCCTAACACTACGTGACAGAAGGATCGATTTGGCAATGACAGCAATTTAGGCCTGGTCAGCAGCTGTCAAGATCTTACTCAGGACTCACAACAGCGAGGAGAAATCAAGTAAGTAAAAATGTAAACAGGAATTATAACATCTTATCGCGACAAAACTTTCATCAACTCATGGAGCGTGGATTTTGCTACGGCAAATTATGAAATCAATAACAATGTAGTTACTCAAATTGAAATGAGAAAAATATAAAATCCAGCAATTTTAATATTTTCTTGTTCATTCTGCAAGCTGTTTTCCAGATCTAGCATTTTTTAACTTCCCGAGGGGGGAAAAGCTCTAAATTATGCAATAGTTTAGGTGTATGGTTTTATTTGGAAATGAGAACTGAAACAATTCATCGGTACAATCTCTTTGTTCGAAATTACGTGATCTATTTATTTATCATTTGTTTAAGATGTTTTTCGAACTCAAACTACCTTCCAATAAAATATAAATTCAAATTCAAATCAAATTTACAACATGCATGCTGACTGATATATAGGGTATAGCATGGGTTTTCCAAGAAAAAATTTTCCATTTAAAGGTGGGACAGATTCGTGGACAATTTTAATAAAATAGAACGGAGGCTAAGTAAGGCAAGTTTGGCATTTTGAAGTAATTTAGGATAAACCAAAACAAATAGTCAAATAGTTCACGAATCTGTATGCGCCATCTTATCTCGAAATTGGATAGCGTATTTGTAAAGTGAAATTCACGTCGTGATACTAACATTTGCAACTGAGAATGACATATATAATTGCGAAACATGTTTTGTAGACTTAAAATATTTCTTGTTTTATGCATGCTATTAACATCATTACTCTTTTTATCAGCTCTAATCATGATGGTTTATATTATATTGTTTTACGTTGTAGAATACCTCGAGCGACCCTTTGCAGACGGTCACTGAGGAGAAAGAACGTCTGCAAACAAACCAATAGGGCTCCTATGGGAACAATCTAGAGCTTCCTTTGTTGTTGATCATTTTCTTTATTCTCATGACCTAAATGTTTGATCTAGGAGTGTCACTGTAACTCAAAATAAGGTTCCGTAACGAATGCTTTTGTTTTAAAGAGTATTGATATCGGCCATACACCACGAGGAGCCGCGAGCACTATGTTTTCTCTTTAGCATTATTTATTTTTATTTGATTTTTTTTTTTTTTTGCAACTAGCGGTATTCCTCGGTTGCTACTGAAAAAATTTCCCGGTACCAACACAGAGCAAAAGCTATAGAATGTTTAAAATCTTTTGGAACCCAACGTTTGTTTAAGGAGTGCCTACCCTACACATGATTTTCTCTCCAGGTCGTTTTGACTCATGCGTGGTTAAGGAAAATTCGCCTTAAAAAAACGAAACGGGGAAATTTTATCAACCACTAGCTTCTCGAGCTCCCTGTAGACATATTTAAATATATATTTACATATTTAAACGAGCGTCATCTGGTTTTTGTGTACTAAGAGAAAAATTTTTGTCCCGGTAAGAATACTTTTTTCTTGAATAAATATGTTTGTACAGTTATAATTATTTTTCTCTTTCTCTTTTAGGCCACCGTGGCAAACACTGTTAATTACGACTTTTGACGTGTTCATACTACTATAATTGTTTTTTTTTGGCCAAAGACGGCTCTGATGCCCATAAGGTTCGATTAGAAATTGTGCTTACCGTGACGAAGTTTGCCCAACATCGTAGGGCTATTACTAAGAAGCCCAATCAGAGCGAAAAATTCAGACGATACAGTAAAGATTCGACAGAAATCGGAGCAACAAGAAAGTTTAATGAATTAACGAACTACAACATCCTCAGCTTAGAACACACCCTTAAGTAAGGTGACACTACTGTGTTAAACCAATCTCACTAAACCAGAGGGAGTTAAACGATACATTTTGAATAGGTTGTTTAGCAAAGGGGTAATTGTGGTTTAAAAACCTGAAGTAGTTTCAGTTTTACCTATTTTCAGCAAATTGCGCAAACAATAGGCGCTACATGTACTAAGACATCAATCTGTAACCGAAAGAATCAGATTCTATTTTAGGTTTTTGACTCTTTTACCAGCGTAAAGAGTACACAAAATAAATCAGTTTAGCATTGAAATACTAAAACATTAAAGTTCTAATGAGATTAAGAATAATGGCTTTCGAGGGACCTAACCCGCCTTTTTTTCTGTTGCTTAAAAGCCAAGTGGCAATTTATCGCAATCATTTATTGCTAAGTATGAATTTTGTTTTAGAAATATTTTACAAATTTGATCCATGAAGCTGAAGTCAATAATATTTTAAAAGAAAACGTCTTAAAATGCTTGTAAGCTAAATTAAAAGAAATTTAAGGATTTGGGGATATCTACATATCTCTTAAGTAGTATGAATGTGTATTTACTGTACATGCAGGGCTTTTTACGACCGCTTGCCTGCCTGTTTTGTCGGAATAAGATGTCTCCAAGGTAAAACGAGTCTGATGTCCGGACTTTAGTGGTCTAAATTGGGTTTTATTGCACCAGTATGTACCCCATGGCTTTGATACTCTTCTGTCCATTATCTAAACCAACATGGTATGCCTCGTTTCCGCAAGATTTTGCGCCTCTTGGATGACTTCCTGTACCAAACCCAATCAAAGAGTTGCATGATTTATAGTCGTTCTGGTCATTGCTGATGATACCAATTCTGACTTTAGAACGATCACTTCGATCACTAAAGGCATTGAAGCCTTCCTCGTTACAGTTGTGCTGTAAAAAGGCGTTGCTGCCAATCAACTTTTTCCACCCGTCACGACCCAGAAAGGTTTTTCGGTATTGGCCATCAGCGATTAATGAGTGCAGAGAGTCAGCCAGCTTGTAAATGACAGTGAACTTGAGCTGTTGGTTGATCTTCATTCCGAGACAGATCTTGGAGAAGGAGGTGTTCCAGAAGGTGGTTAGCTTTGATTCTTGTTCGTCAAACCCAGTCTCTCCACCGAGAAGGATGAATTCATCGTAATTTTTCCAATAATGCGCGTCATAATGGAAGGTGGTCTGAAATAGAGGAACAATTAATTTTTGTATTTTTTTCCAAGTTGATGGATATTTGCTGTCGATGTCCTGTCGTGTATCTGCATTTATTGATCTCTTACTAATTTTTTTTTTACCGTTGAATTTACCTTGATGTTTACGACATCGTGTCGTGGAGACCTAAGTTCATTTTTTCCAACACGGAACCAGCGCCGTATATCAGTGCACAACATATCTATCTAGTTATGAGGGGTTTGGCGTGTTTTTATTTGAAATTATTATTATTTGTGAAGTGAATGAAGGATGATAGACGTTGCTATTCTTTAGATAAATTCGGATCTCTTTTTATATATAACAAAACCTAATTGGAGTTTGTCTGTGTAACGATAAAAGTAACCTGATCCCCCGATAAGACTCTGTAATATTCCTATGATCCATGACTCCTCCTCACTGGAAAGTTAATTGGCACTAAATGTTCTATAGTCCTCCGAGAATCTTCCTCTACCTATCCCCCTCCCCGCGCTGTGCAGGGGATGAGCAATGACAGCTCTTTAAATCAAGGTGATATCTACATATCCCTTAAATAGTGTGAAACTTTAATTCAGATAAGATACGTTCGATGTTCCAAACAGCTTTTAACCGAATTACGATCTCAATGGTTTGTATTTCTTAACTAGCTGCCTGATACTAGAGACATTCTTTTTCATTCTTTTTCAACAGTCACTACATACCATAAGTCTTGAAATTTACGTTGTACGAAGTCTGTCCTTAGTGCATTACCTTCTTGATGAAACACTAAAAAAGGCATACATGTGTAACAGGCACGTTTTTAACTTGCAACGTTTTGAAAGAGGGCAGGTTTATACACGAGATGAATTATTAATTATATGTATGCACCTCTCTGCCGTCAATCTTCATGACTGGTGTCCATCCTCCATCTCCACACCCAAAACTTCCCATGTGACAGAAAACGGACAATGGTTGCGAATCAACAAGAAGGGTAACCACACCACTTACATTGGATCTTTTGAATCAAAATAATAAAAAAATACAACTAATAATGGAAACAATGACAACAAATAAGCAAATGAAAAGTTGATCCTTCAGACGTTAACATCTGCGGAATACGAACAGCCTTCATAGCAACAATGCTCGTTTTTTTTTTTTTCCTGGAATTAAAGAGGTGTCCGAGGGCCAAGGATTTTTTTCACTTCATCTGCGAGGACAGGAATGCACTCCACTGAAATGAATGAAGGTTTAAGGGAAGACTTTCTCCGCATATGGAATATGAAAAAAATTGAAATGTTGGTGTATTCGCTTAAACTAATCGCGGGGAAGCAGGATATTTGATGTCCCATGAAAATAAGATCGAAAATCAATTCTACTTACATGTCATGAATTTCTTTACACGAGGAAGCTCCTGGAAAAAGTTTAAAAATACCTGTTTAGTGAGATCTTATTCTATTATTGGGAACTATATTGACTGCAATCTGACTGATTAGCAGAAGAATTTGATCGTGTTCCAAGCTTTGCTGAGTAGCTGATAAGAGTTCTCAGTTTTTGTTCTCTTTGTTGCATGTATTTTTTCTTCAAATACGCCTTTGATAAGAAACAGTGTCGGGGAGCATCGATTGTTGTTATCTTGATAAAACAGTAGATATTTTCATCCAATTTTTTAAAGTTTCTACCCTATCGAAAGCTTACCAAGTTTATGACTAGTTGTTTTTGTTTATTACTAGTTTCAACACTGATAATATTAATAATAAAAGCTGCAATCGATGCCAGCTCTTATTTTGTGATTTAATTAGAGGAGAACATGCAAACGAAAAAAAAAAAAAAAAAAGAGGAGAAGAAGAAAAGTTGTGAGCTAATAAGCAGTTACTGGATGAGGTTGAGTATAATATCTTGGATTATCAAAACCGAGATCTGAGTTGTCTTCTGGACCCAAAGGACGAGGAAGATAACGCAGACACAGACATAACGTTTAATAAATCGTGATTACATACGAAAAACGAATTCAATAATTTTCTCATTAAATAGATTTTAAAAAATCTGAGGTTGCAAACGTTTTAACACTCTACACGGATGAGGGACCTAGAAACTAAGTCGACTTTGAATAAGTAATGATAACTGAAATATCCGCTGCGGATATTGGGTTATTATGTCAACTGCACACGCTATTGAATATTGCTTGAATGCTCTCTACCAATCGGATTCTTTATTGTAAGTTTAATGTATAATAATAGCGGTTATCTTGTTATCCAAAATAAATAATAAAGATAATGGAAAAAATAGATAAGCAGATAAATGAACAATTTTAAAACTGCGGCAGATATAATTGCAAGATGTTTTCTTGTTTATATTGTGCTATTTGGTTTTTTATTCAGATGGCAGAGTTGTTGGTTTTAGTTTTTTATGTTCGTGGGTGTAGCGATAATGTACGCGCTTTTCACACTTTTTGTCAGAAAGTTCGAAATTAAGAAATGTGCCTCCTTTGCTCAGTATTCCCAAAATTTAGGCCCAACCTCGCATTCTCTTCCACTCTCAGTGAATCCAGGTTTACGTGTACAGTTCTAAGACCCTTTGTTATTGTTGCAATCAGGGCTGCAAGAATGTGACCTTCCGACATAGTCATCGACGTCTATAGATAAAAAGCCGACTAATGATTAACCGAAACATGTAAAAGATTTAAAAGGTCAGCAGCATTATTTGACATTCGTATATCATTTGGACAGCATTAATATTTGTTGTTGAGAACATCAAATAGGTTTATGTTGCTTTAAACAGTCTGTCTAGCAAAGGATGAATAAAATCAGAAAACAGCGATTCTTTCCATTTGGTGCAAAAACACTTCGGTGATCTTGAATAAAATTTGCTGTGAGGATCGAGATGCAAGTTATCATTCCTTTGTGGATAATTTGCAAATGGAAGCTTTATTTTTTCATCACATGGTTGCTAATGAATCCAATACCTACCTTTACATTCTCGTCCATTTCCCTTGAATCCATGTTTGCATGTGCAATTGTATGAACCTTTAGTATTGTTGCAAAACGCATCAGAGCTGCATTTGTGTAGCCCACGAACACATTCATTGACGTCTGAACAAAAAAAAAAAGAAATAAACAAATAAATAAAAAAAATTAACGTGCAAAAAAAAAAAAACCACCAATGGCTGTAAAAACAACAATGACTGGGCAGGCCTCCTTCACATACTTTTCTTAATATGGTAAACGTAGCCTTTGTTTTCTTATGATCACTTCACGTCCTTTTCGCTTTGTACAGAGTAAAAAATGTATTAAAAATGAATCGATCAACAGTCACCTTTTAAGTCACAAGCACTGCTGATGAGCTGCAAAACAGTCGTCTTCTTTTTTAATACAAAAAGTTCCGCAGGTGGCTATTATCTTTTTGCTTGTGGTTGATGTATTTTATTATTGTTTCTTTCCACTCTCATTGCAAGTCAGAAGAAGATTTGTGGATACAAATATGAATATGGAGATAGGAGATGACGAGAAGAAATGACGAAAAACGAAAACTTCGTCATTGAGTTGTGTTGGTGAAGAGACCGTAACAAAGCCCCCTTGTCCTTCGGTTTTTACGGACTAGTAAGAACGGTTTCAGCTACTTGATGACAGAAAAAGCTCTTTCATTCTTTGAGACCCAGTTAACAAACAGCGTGGTAAAGTTTTTCCTCGTTGTTGTTTAACTGAAGGTCTCAAGATATCAACATAAAAGTTGTGTTTACCTCGATCGCAGATCGGACCCTCAAATCCAGCGGTACACAGGCACCGATAACCTTTCCTAGTAAATCCGCTTTGACAAGTTGCATTGTTCTTACAAGGATTTTGAACACAATTGCTCTGACAGAAGAAAAAAACCGTTGTCACTGTCATTATTATTATAATCATTTCCATAATCTACTACTCAACGCTACCATCATCAATATTATCCTTGTCATCATAATTGTCCTTCTATTTCTATATTTCTCCAATAACTTTAAAATGATTTGTCTTTGAAGAGATTTTGTGAAGAGCACAGACACAATATAACCGCTAATGTCTTGAAAAAGTGAAAAAATTTCAAGCAAGTAATTAACGGTGAACAAGAGACTAAGAGTGTTAAAAAGAAAAACAGAATAAATCAGTCTGACTCTTAAATTGAAACTTATATTTACCTCAGCTGCGTTATAAGAATACATATCTTGTTCTATCAACTTTTCCTCGTGTCCTTCGTGAGTAGCATTGTTCAGTTCACATTGATAGTTTCCATTTCCATCTGCCCTTGTATAAAGATTAATGCTGACACAGTCGGGCTCCATATAACACAAGGTTTCACAGAATTTGGAAACTGTAATTTCTACGGTGCGAATTGAGTGGTTTATGAGGCGTTTCCCGTCAAATGCTTTCTCAGGTCCGAACTCCAAATTACGACACTGGTTTGCGATGCAGATATCTTTGAAATGGAAATAATAAATACATTAAACGTTATACGACTGCTTGTGATATGTTCAGAATTACGGAAAATGTGGTAAGTGACATTTCATTATCAATTGTGTAAGACTGGGGTTTTTTTTTCTACGTCTATTTAATTTCTATCTTGCAATAATGTTTACAAGAAAAAACATCTACAAACCCGAGTTCCAAGTCCCCCAACCCCTTCTCCCACCTGTGTTAAGATGAGAATATGTAAACACGGTATAAAGTTCTCTATTGCCCTTAAATTGAAAATTATTTCATTTCAGTTTTGCTTCCTCCTGACTTTCATCCTAGTTCTGGAAGTCACATCTCCACTGGTTTGTGTGTTTTTTCATAATTAACACCGCGCATTTTCACTTCATCATCAATCTAAAATATTACTTTAAGGGTTGTTTTGAAGCCGGATATCTTCGGAAAGACGTGAAGCAATTTCTGGACAGCCTGGGTCAATAGAGGAAGACGACTAAGGGGGTTCAAATTCCTCGGCAGAAGTTCTGTCATCGATTTTTAATCGTCTGTGCTTCGTTTTGTAGAATTCTTCCTTAATGCACATACGTACACGAAAATGTCATACTTCTTAAGAGTACTACCTGTAGGTTGATAACTGAAAACTTTAACGACATATCTTTAATAAATATATGTGGATAAAGCTAATTTTCTGACTTAATGACGAATTCTTATAATTGAATAAAAAGTTTCCCAAAAAAATAACGAAAACTCAAACCAAAGGTACAGATGAATTGGATATGAGTCATACTGAAACTAACCTTGAGATCTGACAGCCATAGGTATCGTAAACCAGAGCTCCAATAAAAGAAGGGATAGAGAAACAGAATACATGATAAAGAGCACGATTAGAAAAGTTCTGGCCCATTAAACTTATGCTCATAAGAAACAAATTCTTCACTCAATAATACATATCAGGGGTATTTTGAAACAATGGAAATTAGGCTGTCACCGGTTAAACCAATGGCAGTCAAATTATTTCGTAGGTCAGCTATTCTGTCTTAATTTATAAAAGAGCACACATCATTCTGTGGTCTGACATGCTATCGTGAAAAATTAATAGATAACATTTGCAATTATGCAGCCGTATTGCAAGTCAACAAAAGCATCTCCTAGACACCTTTCATATCCATACCGTCGTCCCTTTTTAGGAATGATAAGTAAAATTTTCTAAATGATACGCACACTGACATTCAAACCCTTTGTGCTGAATGAAGATAAATTGGACCTGAAAGAATTGTTTTAATCGAGGTGGTCTAGAAAAAAAAACTAGGTCACGCAATTTTCCTACAATTTTATATTCTTAACAAAATCGAGCAGGCGTTTAGACCGGTAAAGCTCGCTAAATTTCTTTCAAAATGTAATTGACTAACTTGGTTCGTCGTTGAAAATCTGTGCCTTATAGAAATGGAGAGATGTAAAACTAGTTTGTGAAAATGAAGAATTAATTTGGTGGCTTCCTAATTTTCGCTTTTACCCATGCACAACAGCTGGCATTATGAAGCTTTGTTAAATTATCATATAACCATGCATTGTTTTTGGTGGTGGTAAGAACTTCTTGTATGTCATGATATTCGTGATGGACAATTTTGGGTTATCATGTAGCCGTGTTACCAGCTACGTTAGCCATTTCTGTCTTCCCCTTTCTTTCGCTAAAATAAATGCACAACACTTGGCCTTATGATGCTTTGTTAAATTACCATAACTGTGTTTATTTTGGTTCGCTGATATGAATTTTCTGTGAATCATGATTTATTTCCCGTTTGGGAATAAAGGGTTCATGCTTTTCACGTGATATACACTGATACACATTATGAATTATCCCCCTTTTTCATTGCAGACATCATTGAAAAATGGAATGATGTTGTTGTTGAAATTTTGACCTTTTATTATTGACTTTTTATTATTGTCATTATTATTAAACGAGTGTGAATATATAAAAGTCATATTTGAACTGCGGATAAAGACGTGAATTTGAAAGCGATCTTCGCAGTAATGAACACTACTTGAGCAGTAGTGAGAATAAGGCCTGAAAAAAAATCAGGCCTGTACGGGATTTGAAGCCATGACCTATGTGATACCGGTACAGTGCGCTACCAACTGAGCTAACAAGCCGACTGGGAGCTGGTCATCATGTTGGTCTCAAATAAACCTGTGGTAGAGCATCGATCCAGGGTAAAGGGACGACTTTTCTTTTTATGTTTAGGGGAAGAAAAAAAATACATATATACAGATACATAAGTTTAAAGAATGAAAGAGGACGCATCGATTCATTGTGACTTTGAGTTTCGCGCCTAAGCGCTCGTCAGAGTTCTGTCTGACGAGCGCTTAGGCGCGAAACTCAGAGTTACAGTGAATCGAGCGTCCTCTTTAATTCTTTAACTTATGTATACTTAGCTCTGCTACCACAGCATTGAGCACTTAATACCAAGGTAGACTCTACCCCCACATTCATTAGATAGATAGATAGATAGATAGATAGATAGATGGATAGATAGATAGTAATCTAACTTACGGCCTTTACAGCTGCACAAATACATATATAAAATAATGACTAATCAACAAAACGACTAACTGCGAGAGAAACTAAAACTAGAAATTGTATGGTTTAACATAGATATAATATGGTATAAACAACTACCTTTTGATATAGTTACAATAAAGAGAAAAGCGACAAATCATAACACATTAATTCCTTAAGATGAGAAACATTACTAGCAGACTCAAGGAGTAAGATAAGAAGTTTATGCTTAAAATTATATAATCTAGATGAAAAAATTGTGGAAGAAGGAGATACACTAGTTATTTGCTTAAGATCAGTGTTAAGGCAATTAAAAAGGGTGGCAGAAGAGTTAGCAAATGTGCGCTTTCCAGAATTAGCCCGCGAGAAGGGAATTTGAAGATTAAAATTGCAAGCTTTGGTGCGCAAATCAGTTGAACGAACGGAAGACAAAAATTGAATATACGTTTAAGACAAAGAGGAGCATCAGGATTATTAAGAATAGTGAATAAGAGTACAAGTTTTCTTAGTTTTATAAGGTCGAGTTTGGGAAATAAGCTTACAGATGGTTGAGAGAAGTAGTCATTAAGGAGCAGTCTAGCTGCACGTTTTCGAAGGCGAAGAGGACGAGACAATAAATAACCAGAACAACTACCCCATGCACTCAAACAATAGATAAAAAGGTTATGAATGCAAGAGTTGTAGAAACGTATAATAAAGTGATGATTAAGAAATGGTTTCATCCTTCTCAAGAGAGACAATCTGCTGTCTACAATTGAGCATATATTATCGACGTGTTTCTCCCATATAGGATGGCAATCAAGAGTGATATCAAGCAGTTTAGCATGCTGAACTTATTCAATTTACTTCCCATCAATCATAACATCAAGGGAATGATCATTCAGACGATGAAGTTTCTTTTGAGACGTAATTAAGATAGATTTAGTTTTAGACGTGTTGAGGGCCATGCCATTTAAGTTCGCCCATGCAAACACGCCAGGGGCGTCAATATTAAGGCGAGCATTTAACTCGTGAATAGTAGAGCTAGATTGAGTAATAGAACTAACATCAGCAAATATAGTAAGAGTAGTGTTCTGTGGGAGAAAGAAAAGAGGAGCAAGAATGCTACCGTGCGGAACACCGATAGATACAGGTAGAAGGTCAGAAAGCGTACCCTTAAGTTAGTATATTGAAAACGGTCAGAGACAATAAGTAAGCCGCTGAAGAGTGGAAGATGAACAACCATAGATTTGAAGTTTTGAAAGGAGAATGCCATGATTTACAAGGTCAAACGCCTTTTTAAGGTCGACAACAAGAACCCATTTAGGATTTTTTTGTCCATATTGTTGAGAAGGCGGTCGATAAGATCATTAACAGCAAGCTCGCAAGAGCGAAACTTCCTAAAGCCAAACTGGGAATCAGAGAGCAGGTCATTTTCACCAAGAAAGTTATACGATGAAGTGTGAACATGGTGTTCTAGAATCTTAGAAAGCGTAGCAAGAACAGAAATTGGTTGATGCTTTAAGAAAAAGCTGCTGTTTAGTCGATCTGATCAAAACCATAAGATAAAATTCTAATCAAGATCACTGATTATAACTGTAAAAACTGTAAAATAACCACACTTTATTAGAAGGATTTTTTTAGTTATGAAGTATCGATTTTTTTGTATGATAATTGGGGATTAAACGGAGCGGCATGGGTTACTCTAGTTGTTCACATCGGCATCCATACGAGTGATTTTACACATTATGTAATAACTACAATGATTATTAAGGGAAATTATGATTTATTATGTCAGGCCAGGAAAACACACGAAACCAATAAGAAGTACAAAAATTTATTTTTAAGCATATAGTTTTTTACCATGCACCCCATCCTTGAAAGGTCGGTCGCTCTTAAATTCAATCCCTGTCTACCATTGAAGGCTACTGACTAGGACGAGCGAAAGTTTCTTTTTGAAAAATTGAGGAAAAATAATTGAACTTCAGCTTTGTCGTAAAAAGGCGCTTTTTCCAATTCGGTTGACGTTTTTCCAAAAAAGTGTGTACATCTGTGTTTCAAAATACCTAAGAAGCGTCGGAAACTTGTTGATAATAAGATGGAAAGTGAAACATTTGATATAATTTGTAAGACCAGCTGTAGATCTTGAGTACTCCAACTGCTTTTCGTGAGGAGAAACGGCGAAAAATATTTATCGGGTCAACTAGAAATTAATTTTGTTTTGCGCTAACATTGACACTTTTTTTGACTCCAAGAAGGTTGACCTCATCGAAGTTACAGATGATGGGACAAGCACTTCCACCGATCAAATAAGTGAATTTCCTGTGTGTAAAGTTGTGTGATTATTGTAAACCTGAACATTTTGGTCACCGACAATTTTTGTCTAGAAGGACATAAGAGGAAACCGCATGTATATGTCAGGAACTAGCAAAGAATAATATTTGAACAGGTCAACTATTACTTAGGGCGCTATGTTAATTATGTATTTTAATTGCTAAAACAAATGAATTTTGTTTTGCGCTAACATTGACACTTTTTTCGACTCCAAAAAGGATGACCTCATCATGGAATTGACAGATGATGGGACAAGCACTTCCAGCGATCAAGTAAGTGAATTTCCTGTATGTAAAGTTGTGTAATTATTTTTAACTTGAAAAATCCTGGTGACCGACAATTTTTGTCTAGAAGGGTATAACAGGAAACCGCATGTAAATGTTAGAAACAAGCCACCGGGGTCGGGTATTTTTAAAATTTTAATTACAATTCATCTTGCAACTGTCGCAAAACCATTCGGCCGCGCCGATCCAGTGCTGGCGGAGAAACTTAAGAGCTTGAAGTTAACTGCAGGTCTCATTCATTTTAGTACATTCACGGATCGAGTTGTTCCTTTGAAAGTGATTTAGCGAGGTGTTGAAATTTACTTTACATTCAAACGGTATAGGTGATTGCGTGAAGATAAAAAAATGGGTTTTATATACAAGATATCTAATCGCTCGGTGATGTAATCGTTTTGGAATAAATTGAGATAAAGCATGGATATTATAACTCTCCGTAATAACATATGGGGGAAAACTGCAAATGGAAAAACGTTGTGCGCGTTTTGGTTTACGTTTCTTAGAAAAGCCCTCATCTAGGGCGGAGGGGATCTAGGAGTAATAAAGGAACAAGGAGACAAAGGATATGATAAAACATTTACCTGGAGAACAGTTAGCTGCAGTGAAAATAGAAGGCAATAGAAAGAAAATGAGATGGCGCTTGAAATCAGCAGACATGACGGATG